ACTTTCAATTTTGTCACATATTGTCCTCATTTTTTAAAAATTTTATTTAAAAATAAAATTATTATTTTACAACCCCAAATATTTTTAAAATATCAAAATGATCCTTAAAATCTCTTATTTTAACCCTCATATCAGTCGTTGTCGGTCATCACCAGTCGCCTTCGTCATTGTCGAACGGCCACTCATCCATCGTCAGGTCTCTACTATCAATCATCTCTCTTATCATCGTCTCAATTATCCTAAATCAATAAATCCTTGGAATGGTCACTAAAACATATAACCTAATATGTTCTTCTTAGGGATGGCAAACAGGCGGGAACGGTGCAAATACCTCTTCTCTCATCCCCATATCTACCTAATATTTTCGTATCCACTACTTACTCACCATCCATGATGTGTAAAATTTTTAAATCTATACTCGCCCACGTAGGTACATTCTTAAATCCATCTCCATACCCACTATCTAATTATATATCCATCAACCATCTCGTATCAGTCTATACTTGTCCATACCCATCAATTTGAGATAGAAGACACGATGACATTCAATTATAAAAATGTATATACTCTAACATTTGTTTAAATTACAAGTCATGTCTTATAAATCTTAAGAATTGCAGAATAATCTTTGAAATTATACCTGAATTAATAATAGTCTAAAATTTATATGGTGGAGTTAGTGGGTCGACATATACGGGACGGATAGATGCAGGGCAGGTAAAGTCTCAAACTCATCACCTACTCACTACCCACGACATGTATGACTTTTTACATCTACATGCTTCCACTATCCACTAAATTTATGCCCATTCTCCCCCCAAATAGAATGGGTACGGTGCAAAATCTACAAAATTGTATACATCTATCATCCCTAATTCTTTTTTTCTTGTCGTTCTTTCTTCTTGTCTCACCCTCAGTTTCTTCAATTGATTACCAACGGTAATAGTCATTTGCCTCCTTAAAATATTTTTTTATTCTTTTAAAATGAAATTTTTAAAAATTTTAGATTATTCCATGTGTCATTTAACGAAGTTTTTTAAAGGCGGTTAAGGTCCGAATACCTAAAATGGTAGGGAAGAAAACCTTAGACACATATTTTTAACAAAAAAATTCTTAGATGTCAAAAATCAATTTGAGATATAGTTTAGCCACTTATCCCCAATTATCCCATCTAAACATACTCTGGCGTTGTGTGCTTTGGATTAGATGAGCTGACCTAATTCACTTGCGCCAATGAAATCTTTATCTATTGGTCAATCCTGATTCCTGATTGTAGTGAATCTCTTATTACCATATATTATACGCATTCTTCTCAGTTCCCATGCTAAATCAATCTCTTCTCTTGAATTTTGGTCTTCTGGGTCTTCGAAAGTTTGAATCTTTGGATCCCCATGGCTGAAGAAAAACCAAGTTCTTCAACAACCACAAGAAGCTACTGGAGATGTAGCAAAAAGGATTTCTTCCCGGAAACCTCGTTTCAATCCATGTCCTCCTACAAAACAGCAATTTCCCAAACCTGTCCTCGTCTCACCGACCGTCTCTTAGCGCGTTCCTCCTCCACCAACGAGCTTGTAACCCTTTCGAAAGTGAGTGAAAACCCAATGCAAAAATGTCTAACCTGGTGGGACCTTATTTGGCTAAGCTTTGGCTCGGTTGTTGGTTCTGGCATATTTGTCATAACTGGTCAAGAAGCTCATGATCATGCAGGTCCAGCTATTGTCTTGTCCTATGCTATCTCTGGGCTATCAGCATTGCTGTCGGTTTTCTGTTACACTGAATTTGCAGCTGAGGTTCCCGTAGCTGGTGGTTCGTTTTCATATCTTCGTATTGAATTAGGTGATTTCATTGCATTTATAGCTGCTGGTAATATTCTTCTAGAAGCTTTAGCAGGAGCTGCAGGGTTAGGAAGATCATGGTCTTCTTATTTTGCTAGTATGATTAAGAGTGATTCTGATTTTTTGAGAATTAAGGTTGATTCTTTGCCTGATGGATTTAATCTTTTAGATCCACTTGCGGTTGTGGTACTTTTGGTTGCTAATGGGATAGCTATGAGTGGAACTAAGAGGACTTCATGGTTGAATTGGGTTGCTTCTTTGGTTAGTGGTGCGGTGATAGTTTTTGTTATAGTTTTTGGGTTTATTCATGCTAAAACTTCGAATCTGGAACCTTTTTTCCCATATGGAGTGAAAGGTGTTTTCAAGGCGGCGGCTGTGGTTTATTGGTCTTATACAGGTTTTGATATGGTGGCAAATATGGCTGAGGAGACTAAGAAACCCTCTAAGGATATACCTGTTGGGTTGGTTGGTTCGATGTCTGGAATTACTGGTGTTTATTGCTTGATGGCTTTAGCATTGACCATGATGGTGAAGTATAATGAGATTGATGTAAATGCTGCATATTCTGTTGCTTTTGAGCAAATTGGGATGAGTTGGGCCAAGTATTTGGTTAGTATATGTGCACTGAAGGGAATGACCACAAGCTTGTTGGTTGGATCTCTTGGCCAAGCTCGATACACGACTCAGATCGCTAGAGCTCATATGATTCCTCCTATTTTTGCTTTGGTTCATCCCAAAACTGGAACTCCTGTATATGCTACCCTGCTGGTCACATCGATTAGTGCTATCATTGCATTTTTCTCTAGTTTAGATGTTTTGTCTAGCGTTTTATCTTTCAGTACGCTCTTCATTTTTATGCTAATTGCTGTTGCATTGCTGGTGAGACGATATTATGTGAAGGATGTTACTCCAAAGAATTTTTTGATAAAATTTTTCATCTGCTTGCTCATTGTTATTGGTTCCTCCATTGGAGTTTCAGCACTTTGGAATTCCGATGAGAGAGGCTGGATTGGATACACTGTGGCTGGATTGGTTTGGTTCTTGGGGACTTTGGGAATGGCATTTCTTTCCAAGCAGCGTGTTCCAAAGGTCTGGGGAGTTCCACTTGTTCCTTGGTTGCCATCTTTGTCAATCGTGATGAACTTGTTTCTCATAGGATCTTTGGGTCTTGTAGCATCTTTGAGGTTTATCATTTGCAGTGCAGTAATGATAGTGTACTACCTTCTTGTTGGCCTTCATGCCACTTATGATGTGGCTCACCAGAATGAATTAAGTGCCTAAAACTGAAGAGGGTAAATGAAGTTGTAACTTGAAAAACAATCTGAGCAGTACTGAGTGGTACAGCATTTTATTGTTGTTTATACATTCCTAGTGTGGTCAACGATAATGTTCAGATGTTATTTAAGTTGTCTACATTTTCCAAGTGTTGTCACTGATAATGTTTGGATATTGTTTAAGTTGTTATATACATTTTTGCAGAATATACCACTTTCAAGTGAAATATATATTTCTGTGCCTTTTTTGTGCTTTTTTATTTTCATTTATTGAACTCTGTTTATTTTAGCATCTGTACTGATCTTGTGCAGGTTCTGATGCACCCTTATGATCATTTCTCTTGGAATGGTGTTTTATTAATTATAAGGATTTAAACTTGGTACTTCTTTATCTGTGATTGCTATGCGCTGGTGCTAACCATGATGCATAAAGAGAGGAGAAGTAATGGAATGACATCTATTCAGTCTTATCTAGGGAAATTGGCTTGAATCATTATTTTCTGGTTGTGTTCTTTATCAGAAATGATTCTGCTAGCTAGATTCCTCTGGAAAGACTTGAAAATGATATATTGCAAGACCACATTGTTTATATTGCCCCGTCTCTCTATATCGAGACCACATTTTTATTGAACTCTGTCTATTTTAGCATCTGTACTGATCTTGTGCAGGTTCTGATGCACCCTTATGATCATGTCTCTTGGAATGGTGTTTTATTAATTATAAGGATTTAAACTTGGTACTTCTTTATCTGTGATGGCTATGCTCTGGTGCTAACCATGATGCATAAAGAGAGGAGAAGTAATGGAATGACATCTATTCAGCCTTATCTAGGGAAATTGGCTTGAATCATTATTTTCTGGTTGTGTTCTTTATCGGAAATGATTCTGCTAGCTAGATTCCTCTGGAAAGACTTGAAAATGATATATTGCAAGACCACATTGTTTATATTGCCCCGTCTCTCTATATCGAGATCCCTCATAACTGCAACTTCATTACTTGCTAGCTGGTTTTCTTGCTCAGAGCCTCAGACACCTCATTGGGTTAGATTTCACTGTTTCTGACTTGTATCGTATTATCATAATGGTCTTATACCAGAACATAGTCTTGTTTATCGGTTATTTTGTATTGTTGATCTTCACATTTTAGGTCTAGCACCACTTGCTGATTTTTATTTTCCTTTCTCAAAGAAACTATATAAGTGGCAAGAAAAATAGATAAAAGGCTTCAGGATTTATAACTAGTTAGTGATACTGAACCCAATCCTAAATGCATAATGGATTCCAGCAGATCATGAAAAACTCAGTCTAGAAATAAATTTGTTTTTGAGCTTACAATGTTTATCAGTGTGATGGAGTTTTAATGAGAAACAGAGAGAGAGCCCTGTCTGGTTGTGTAACATTTTTTCTGGTGGTTTGCACGACCGAGATTCTTTTACTGATCATACTCTGGATATTGATTGATATGTTTTACCTCTTCTGCAGCATACTAATCAGTTCTCGTCTTGGAATTCATGCAAGAATTGGTTCTTGAAGGAACCCTATTTTCTTCTCGATCTTGCTTTGAAAAAGGACTATTAATTGCATATCTTGAACTATACAATAAATAGTCCCATCCAGGAAAAAACAATTGGCGAATTCATGAATTTCCAACATTCTTTTATCTTTGATCTTAATGCTTCGCCACAAATCTGTAGGGTATTCTTTTTTGATGAAATTGATCTTTATGAGATGCTGTCATGTTCCCGGCATAATCCTTTGTAATTTGAAAAATATAATATATAGCCTCAGGCTGGCCATATAATTCGTTCTATTTCATTTGGGAGCTTGGTGGTAGGTGAAGCTCTGTAATTTAAATGAGCATCAGTCCGGCATAATTATATTTATGCATGATTCCAGTGGAGGAGTTAGGTAATTCTCATCGTTGTTTCTGTTCTCCTTACGCAAGTTCAAGCTGTTAAATTTGTTACAAGGTGATCATTCACTCACTAAATGTGAAATTCGTTCTTTGTAGTGCAACTTTTCTGATTTCAACTCTTGAAACTCAATTCTGATGTTACAAAAGTGGTCCATCTATGCATGCCCTTGTACATGGAAACAAAGAACTGAAGAATGAATCCCAGATTTAATTGCATTCCTTAGCATTTAACGAGAAATCCTTTTTATTTTGTAACAGCCGTTGAGATTCGCAGGATTTGTCGATGCATAATGTTCTTAGGAACTCCTATGGTTAACTTTCTTAAACCTTAGTTATTATCACATATATATGTGGACCTAATGTGATTATGCTAACATGGTTTCTGTATCTGATCTGCCAGCTCCACCAGAAGCTGAGAGGAGCCACTAGAAGTACTACCGAGCACTTTGGAGAAATAACCACTCCTCCTACCATCAAGGTTTCACGTAAGTGCAAAAAGTTTTATATGACAAACAACCATTAAATTTTTCTGTTTCCGTATCAAGACAGTTGTTTTACTGTTGTTTAGTCCTGTAAGTATTACTTTTTTGCTTGTTAACGAGGAGGGAAGAAAGGAAGTTTCTAACACGACAAAAAAATAAATTTGACATATAGGGAGGAGGAACTTTAAAAAACTGTAAAGCTTCATGTTTCCCATACCCAACCCTTCTCTTTCCTCTTCTTTGGCTTTTGGAAATTGGATCGAACTCGTTATTCTAATGCCTAATAACATAATTATTCTTTCTAGAAACTTTTAAAACATTTTTTTTGGCAGGAGAAAAGTAAATCCTACAAGAGGAATGTGCTTCGTTATCAGTTGAGAAAGTTTATGATAAATGGTAACCCCCGTTGTTGATATAGTGCTCTTGTCTAGTAGGTTAACTAGGTGCTAGTGGATATCTGTAACTCATTCTGTTCTATCTTTAGCACTGTTTCTTCACCTCTTGCGTCTGGTTCCTTTACAGCTGCACTATTGGTGATTATAATGGCATTGGTTCCTTCATGTCGTACAGACTCGAGGTATCTTCCAAGGTGCTGCAGATTATAGTATCACATTTAGAACATAATTGCAACAATGACTATAGCACTGATGAACTTTCTTTTTTTTTTTTGATAGGAATTGCAGGCCTCGTTAAAAATCTCCTTCATGATTAAAGGAGCTTATAGAGAAGCTCCTTAATCAGCAGAAGGAGGAAAAGAGTGCCTTAAGATTTTATTAACCATAGAAAGAACACGATACAACCAGGGAGCCACCCCCAATATGAACAAAACACCAAAAACAACCACCAACAATCCTACCAGAACCAGCCTAATCCAACAAAGCAACAACAACAGCCTAAAAAAGACTGGCCAAACAAAAAACCTAAACGAGGCCCGATAGACACTCAATCAAACAAAACAACCAGAAAAAAGCCAAGGGTGACAGCTGACTAAAACCATAAAAGCCAACTTCTAACTCAAAGGCCATGGAGCTTTCACATGAAAAGAAAACAAAAAAAACACACATATGGCCGCCTTTCCACCACATCACCACGTCTTGTTGGCTAAAGACCATCCGAACTTCCAGCTTCAGACAAAAAGCATGGTAGATCACCTGAACCTTCTACTCCTTCCCCCGCCATCGTCTTCCGACAATAGATACACTACTGCGCCATTAGACTCACAACCCAAATCTTTCCCAAAAGGCAAGGAATTGAACGTATCCTTCTGTTGAGACTGCACCAATGCTGGAAAATCAGATTCATAAGTGAATCTGCCATCAAAAACAGACACCTCTTCCTCCCAATGCACCTTACTCTGATGGCTCTTGCTTCGAGAACCCCTATACTTTCTTTTAGGAGCTGTAAAATTCCCCTGAAAAAATTGTTTAGATCTAAATTTGTTGCCAGAACCCACCTTAGGTCTCATGTATTGCCTTGCGATACCCTTTGGATTTACGAGAGCGTAGTTGTAAGAACAGCCCTCGTGAATCCCTTCCTCCACCTCCCTTATCTCAACCCGACCATCCAACATGGGGAAATCATTAAAATAATCCTTTGAGCCTACAAAAGCACATGCAGACTCACTATTTTTCCTAAAGGCAACTTCATTATTCCTCTCCACGTGAACCAACAGATCCACTTTATCCTTTAGGCTCACATCTTCCAATTCCTTTGACACTAAGAGACCATCCTGTATGGGAGAATTAATTAAAAAATCCTTACTCTCCACAAAACCACGTGCAGGCAAACAAGTGTCCTTAAAGACATCCACTGCTTCTCTCTCCGCATGCACCAGCAATGTCTTGTGTTCCCCCACTCCCTCCATTTGGGAAAGAACCATCCTCTGACCCCCAACGTCGCTCCTCGGACCCATCATCAAAGCCTCTCCTATGTTCCTGTCCTCCACACCCTCACCCAACAGGATGCTGCCTCTAGCACTAGTCCCCAAACAGCAGAAAAAAATTTCTTCATTCTCAGAACACCTCACGGCCGACTGCACCTCCGAAGAGTGAATGGAACTTCCAGCTTCTTCAGAACCCTCTTCCAGCTCAGGAAACTTAACTGGAAAGGCACCAACGAGCTCCCTCACCTTGGATAACGGGGATACGACTGCCTCTTCAAAAGAAGACGACTCTACCCACTTAATAAAAATTCTGCACCATCCTAACAAGCTGTCTTTGAGAGTTGAGAATTTACTGTCGTCAACAGAACCAGCAATGGGAGCCACCATGTGACTAACATCCTTCCTTACATTGTTTCCCTCGACTGAATAAGGACCAGAGAACTTCTTCCTCCAGAAAACATCACGAGGAAGATATCTCGCCATGAATACTCTAATTTTGTTGCCTTGAATCCAAGATCTATCAACACAGTTGATAGCCTTCCTCGCATCCTCCAGTCTGGTGAAACGAACAAAACCAAACCTACTTCCTCCCTTGCTTCTTTTATTGGGGATGAAAGAATCCACCACCTCGCCATATTTATCGAAAAATAACCAAAGACCTTTGTAATGAAAACTCTCTGGAATGTTGAAAATGATCACAGTGACAGTTTTTCCCAACCGGAACTCTCACCTTACTCGCCATTAAGAGAAATGATAAGGAATGAAAATAGAAAAACTTATCTAAAACACCTGATTTTTAGAGAGAAGGAGGAGCTTCTCTCACTATTGTTACAAAATTTAAAATCTTAAAGTGTTTTTACTGATGAACTTTCATTTCGGTTATGTTTTCAGTTTAGCACTAACAATGATGCATTGTTGATGGATGGTATTTGACTCAAATGCAGGCTAGTTTCCGTGATAGTTGGCATGGACAGAAACTTTTCTTATCTTGTTATTCTTCCTCCACAGAAATTATTATGATTCTGGTGGTAATTGGGCAGGCTTGCACCGCAAGGTGTGGTTCTAAAATGTCTTGTTCAGTCACTGTTGGTTTGCATTATACGTTCACTAACCAAGCAAAAGAGGATTAGGGGAGAAGTTACTGTATGGTTCCTTCTTATTCATTGATGTGATGAATGTGTGATAGATATGTGGTGGCTGCACTGCCCGTCTTTGTCCGAAAGTTTGGCACAGCATATGACCAATCCTGAATTCATACAATATAAAGGTATGCGAGTCGTGCTTATTTTTACAGCATGCTGTCTGCCTTAATGTTTGGGTTGAAATTCTGTCTGATTTGATAACTGATCCAATGGCATTCAAGGTTATGGTTTGGTCTGCACTAAAGCCCCTCTGTTCCTGCCACATAATGGAACATTTTGGTGTATTTATTCAAATAGAAAACAGTTGATGTTACTAGGTTCACCATGCATGTCTTTCCACAATGGAAATGAACCATGGATGGATGAACAGTTGATCTTATCTTTTCACAGTAAAACATTGCATAAAGTGATTGAGTTCTAAAAGACTCAAACATGTAATGAAATCCAGTAATTGTTACTGATTGAGAAAACATGATTTTGAGTACAAAATAAAGGTAGAACAGTAAGACGATGCATAGTTCAATAGATTGATTAAGGCAGCTGAGGCTTAATTTTGTTGGGGGGTCTAAAGTTAGATGCAGTTGGAGTTGACCGCATTGAAAGGAAAGTAGGCTGGGCATCATGTTGGGTTGGGACGGGATTTCGGTTAAGTTGATCCGATCTAAGAAATATACTCTTCATTTGAATCCGATCTAATTTGAGTTTAGTGGTGTCACATTCTATCCAAATTTTAAGATAAAAATATGTATTCGACTCGATCATATCCGAACATGCATATAAAAAAACATTTTTATTTAATAAAATAAGAACTTAATTGAAAAAAATAGAGATAAAGATATTATACTAATTTTTCTTAAATGTGTAGAAAAGAATTATATTATTGTTCAGTTGGGTCGAATCAAAGATTTTTATTTTTAATCTAAATTGAAATTAAATTCAACCGTACTTTTCATAAAATCTGATATGATCGAATATATTTAAAAAAAACATGTAAACGCGTTAAATTCAGACATGTAAAGTATCAACACGTTCAAATAAGAGTGGTATTGTTTTGAACATGAAACATGTGATATGAGTGATCAAATTCTGGCATCACCTCTAAAATGGAAGTGTGAATATTTGGACAAAAAAAATATCGAAATTTCAGTAGCACTTCACATCATTTCAAAGATTTAATTATTATTCAAAAGAATTTTTGAAAAAAAAAGAAGAGATATTTTGTCAGTTTCACAAATAAATATGTAGGTTGCGTTTGAAAAATCATATTCAACCTTTTGAACAGTAGGGACTCGATGGGATTGACCTTTCCATATATTTTTTCTTTAAGAAATATATAAAAAAATCTATTGAGTAAAGCACGAACCGAGTGACCTTATCGATAAAAAAGTTGTTATTCTTTGAGGTATCGAATTAGAAGATCAGAAATATAAAAATTATTTTTAAATAAATACTAAATTTTATTTACTCCATACTAATTATTTTTGATGAAGTTGACTATTCATCACAACTTAACTAAAGAAGTGGGGGTTAATTTACATCACCTTTTTGTACAACCTTTTTTCATCCTAAATGTTGTATAATTTGATAGGATCTTGTTTATAGTTACTCTTATATTTTAGAAATTACTTAAGCAAATGATAATTGTGTTTATTGAATTATAATCCATGTTTATACAAATGTAGCCAATGTTGATATATTTTAAAAACCATTCAAGTTAACATGTAGCTCCGGGGGGGAATTAATTTATAGAACAATGACTTGGTTTAAATCAATCCATGAACACCTTCAGTGGGACATGGACAAATTACCTTGGCTTCCCCTATCAAGCACTTGCTATAATTAAGAAATGTCGTAGATATAATAATTAAAGTCAAGTCCCCATTGCCTATTGAATAATTTAGTCATAAGAAAATTGGCAATGTTCTAGCTTAGGATATGATAATCTACAATCATTATCTTCCTATATTATATATGCTAAAAGAGTTGAATATGGAAGAAATATTTTCTATACAAGATGTAAAAAAATGTCAGAAAATAATAATACTCGAAATTAGATATTTGTGAAATGGCCAAAGATAGGTTGCCTTGGTTCATTTGTCGCATCAAATTTCAATGGAAATCATGCGTGACTGTCGATGAACTGTTTTTACGTACGACCATTATGTGCTTTCTTTTCTTTTTTTCCAATCCATATAAAAAAAAGTAATATCTATAAAACTTGGAGACTTTTTACTATTGAAGTATTCAATAATCACATAAACAGATAATAAAATATTGAATTATTCAATAATCGATCAATTATCTAATTAAATTAGGTTTATAATCGGTTAACAACTTTTTTGTGTTTAAGTGGCAGGTTTTTGTTTTTATTGAATCTTTACACATAATGTAAAAAATTAACTTTAAAATTTTTAATAATAAAAATAAATGTTCTTTTTTCTTAAAAAAATATCAAATTCAAAGAAAAAAAAACATATATTCACTTCAAACAATCTAAAATATAAAAATGATACGAAACAATTTATTATTTTGCGATTATTAATCTAATGAAAATAAAGAATTTATAAGAAAATGATGTGAAGAAATAATTTGGGCGAAAGCGATAGCTACGAATGAGATAAGGCCACGTAATCTGATAAGGAGCGAGCCGCTCCTACGCGTCCACGCGTTGGAGTAGTTCTGTTCAAGTGGAGGCTGCCCTTCTACCACGTGTGATTTTGTCCCAAATTTCGAGCTCAAAATTTAAACTAAATTACTTCAAGGTTTATTATAAATAAATAAATACAATAAACAAAAGGCTGGGTTGGTTTTCTCTCTGGGAGTGCCAAAAATTATAAAAAGGAATCTTTCATCTCTTAGAAGAGAAGCTAGAATTGAAGTGAAGTGGGTCCTCACTTATCTTCCACCAAGGATTTTCATTTTAATAAATTACATGACTAAAATAATTGAAAATGAAAAAAAGAATTTAAAAAATCTTTTGAGTGTGACTCAATGGTCAACTATGGTCATTGATTACCGTTTTCTTCTGAACATTTTCTTGTTGTTTATACATGACAAAATATGCAACATATTTGACTATATATTATATATATATATATACTTCACACTAAATGTTCTACCCTTCTACCACTTGCTTAGTCCCTTTTTTAATAAAAATATTTTAATTTTTATTTTAAATCCTGCACATTATCAAATATTAATAAAATATATTATATCGTAAAAAATATTAATAAAACTATTCATGTCATCAAACAAAAATAATTTAAAAAATATAATAAAATGTTATTTCCATTTTATCATCAAATGATTTAAAATAAAGCAACATAATTAACACAAATGATTAAGTTGATACTAAAGACATAAGATTCTAGCATCGGGATTGAAGGGTTGACAGTAGGGGTGTAAACGAGCCGAGTCGAGCTCGAGTATTGCCGAGCTCGACTCGAACTTGAAAACTTTAAATGTAGGCTCAACTCAATTCGAAAACTCGCTAGCCTAAAATTTTCAAACTCGACTCGAACTCGAAAGATAATATTGAAACTCGACTCGAACTCGAAAAGGCTCGAAAGGCTCGAACTCAAAAAGAATTCAGGAGCTCGATTGAAGCTCGATTTTGAGCTATATTCGAGCTCGAACTCAAACTCGAATTTGATCCTACAAAAATCTTATATTACATTTGAAATATATAAATAATTTTCCCTTTAATCAACCATTACCAATACATTATAATATGAATGTATGAACTATAAAAAAAAAATCTAAAAAAATAAAAAATACAATTACAAGAAATTTAGGATAATTAATATAAGTTTTGAAGTTTTTTTATAATAATTATTAGTATTATTATTACTCATGTTTATTATATTAACATATGGTACAAATCCACGAGGAAGCCCGAGACAGTGCACCATCCACGTGAACCCACCGAGGAAGACCCATGCTGGTCGGCCATCCACCGAAACTAATGTTGTCGTCGCCCATGCTGGCCATGCTCGAATCCATGCCCTACAGACACACAAAACAAGGGACAGAGCACCAAGCACCAAAACCAATACTAGGAATGACAATTAATAGCTTATGCAACAGTTGATAAGAATTAAATTATATCTGTGGGACAGGTAAAATAATATGTTTCTGGGAAGAAGAAGGGGAGTGAAATTTTTTAAATATACAACGAATGAACCACCAGATAGAATACAAAATATAAAACAATTTCAACCTTAGATTATCTTCAAAGATATAATTAATCAAAAATTTATATAACCTTACTTATGACATTCATATATGTCCTAATCACTAACGTGAAAATCTAATGTATTGGTTCACCTTAATAGAGTTATGAAATTGAACAACCATATATTTCTTGACAAAACCATATTCAATTATCAGCGGAGTTTTATGTAACCTAAATCAACATAACTAAAGAAACCACTATAATAAGACAGTGTGGTATTTGTCCACTCACCTGAAATCAATCAAAGGTCGAATATAATTTTGACCAAACTTGTAGTAGTCAAATGGCTCCCGCAAAGCTTTGTGGTAGGGTTGAAATACAAAAGGATCTTAAAAAGCTACCGTCATATTTCATGTAGAAGTTTATAAAAACTTATAATCGAAATGCAGTATCTGAAAAAGGAAGTTCATAAAAGTTTCAAACTGTAGATTCATCTTGAAAGAGCATTTTAGAACAACTACCTCTACATCCAAAAGCACACGGTCAAGTGCAACAGCCATGTTTGACAACACAACTTCAGCAGCAGCGGGATCTCCACTTTGAAAAACCTAAATGTTGCCACATGCGAAAGATTTTCTCTTTTAAGTTTTCAGATATACAGGTAAAAGATACACAAAAATGAAAAAAAAGTTCACCAAGATTTTCGAAGGGCATAGATCGTGTACTGAGGAGAACATATCATATCTAGAGCATACATTAATGTGCAGTAAAGTTTGGGTTTCTTGCCTAGGCCAGCGAGGAAAGAGTAGTCTGGGCGTTAGGACTCTTCATCGGAGCCCGTGGGGACGGCGAAGGCCGCGGTGGCCGTGGTCTGGCATGGTTACGGAGTGGTGAAGATGGGTATTTACGAGGGTATTATGGGTTTAAGTTTAAGGTTTTGGGGATGTTTTTTATGAAGGTTCTCACCGGAATTTGTTTAGGAGAAGTTTAAGTTTCACATCGGAGCACTAGGCGGCTGAAGCCACGGAGGCTGTGGGTCTCTGTTAGGGTTAAGCGAGGAAAAATGATAGAAATCAAAGTGTAGAACTCCGTTGAAGAAAGGCGAGAGGAACGGCAGCTGCGGGCCTGCGACATTGTTTTCTGGTTTGCGTGAGAATGAGAGGGGGAGAGTTGGAGAAGGTTAGGGAGTGAGGCTTGAGCTTGAGCGGATGAAATGAATATTTAGTTTAGGTTTGTTTTAATTTAGGTTCTAAACCCTAATTAATTTTGGGGTTAATTATCATTTAGCCACTGTAACCTTAGGGGTAAATTAGCTTTAGGCTCTCTAGATTTATGTGTTTTGTACAAAATAGTCCCTCAATTATTTAAATTTTAGCTTAAATTAGTCCTCACATTTAGGTTTTTCTTAATTTAGTCCCTGTTTAGGATTGTTTTCTTTAATTAGTTGTGTATATTTATTTTGCATGTTGATATGTTTATGTCTAAGTGTGTGAATAATTTATTTATGAGTCACATAACATCATTTTGCATAATTTGTATGTTACCTTCATGTGCATAACTTAAACCCTAAACCCTAACGCTTAACCCTAATATATAAACTCTAAACTCTAAACTTTAAACCTTAAATCCTATCACATAAACTCTAAACCTTAAACCCTAAACCTTATCACATAATTAGTTATGAGGTAAGTACAATATAGTATCTTGATATTAAATGCTCAAACCCTAGATATTTATGATATTTGAACCCAAAACCTCAAATATAAGAACAATTTAAAAAATTAGTTATTACAAATATTATCATTAGAAATATATTAAATATTTGTCATTAGATAAATAATTTTTTTATCAATTTAAAATAAATATAAGAATATTTTTTCAAAAATAATTTTTAACCAGTTTCAATTCAAGAATATGTATTCATCAATAATGTATTTTTAATATATTTTAATAATGTACTTTTAAAAAATCTAAAATTATAATATAATATTTTTTCGAGCTGCTCATGAGCTTTTCGAGTCGAATATCGAGTAGCTCGTTTCGTCTCGTTAAGAACTCGAGTCGAGTTCGAGTTCGAGCTCGAGTCGAGTCCATTCGATCCGAGTATTTATCAAGCCAAGATCGAATCGATCTCGAGTAGCTCGCGATCTGCCTCGTCTCATTTACAACCCTAGTTGACAGGTACAAATTTAAACTATAAAAAAAAAATTCAGAGCATGTTTTCTCAACAGTTCCCCAACATAATTGTTGTAAGTACATGTGGCTAGGCAATGGGCTCCTAAACCCATTACTCTAATTTACTTCAACAGGCATCGTATAGTTTTTATGCGATAATATCAAAATAATAATTAAATATATCATTAAGGGTCAGTTTGATAATAATTTTAAAGATTAAATATACAAAAAGTGTCTATGCATGTTTTTTAAGTTTAGTATTTAACGTTTTTTTCGTTGCAGTTTGGTGCATAATGTTTTATTCTGTGATTCAAAATGGATCCAACCATAACGGACCGTTAAATTAGGCCGTTATCCCATTAAAAATATCACGTGAAATGTTTTTTTAATACTAAAAAATGAATTATAAAAATAAAAAATTAATTTTTCTTTAAAACCTTTAACTTTTTATCCATTAACCCTAAATCAATTTCCCTCTCCTCCCCTTAAAGTCGTTTCTTTTGAGCTTTTTAGATTGATTTGCTTATTTTATCTTTGCATAGTATAAAATTTGAGCAGTTTAATATCCAAGCTGGTTCGGATTCTACAGAGGTGGCAACAGATATGATCACCATCAACTCCACAGTGAAAATGATTTATCGAAGCACAGGAACGTTTTTTGGAGTCCATGTCATCTCAACTCCTCTTGATCTCTCATATTCACAAATCACCATTGCTTCAGGAACAGTAAGTCCAGCTCCATAAAAACACAAACCATTTTCTTTGTATTCAAATGTTAAGCCATTTTATATGCAACGAATCTCGGTGTTTCATATGAAGAAATTTTATCAATCGAGGAAGAGCCAAAGGTCTGTAACTGTAACTGTAACTGTTATGGGAAACAAGGTTCCATTGTACAGAAGTGGAGCAAGTTTGAGCAGTTCAACAGGAATGACAACGCATTCAGTTTCGCTGAAACTGAGCTTCATTGTCCGATCAAGAGCTTATGTGCTGGGGAAACTGGTGAAGCCAAAGTTCAACAAGAAAATTGAACGTGACATAACTTACGATCCCAAGAAACCCAATGCTCCCATTTCACTCAAGAAATCTTGCACATACGATTCATAAAAAGTTCAGATCGCATGGACAACACGTTGAAAATTCAATGTGAAATTGGTTTGATGAAAAAGAGGGGAAAAGAGTGAAGGGGAAGAGATTTAGGGTTAATGAGAAAATTTAAAAGGTTTTAATGGGAAATTATATTTTTATTTTCATAAATTATTTTTTAGTATTAAAAAATATATCACGTGGCATTTTTAATGGGTTAACGGTTAAATTTAACGGTCCGTCACGACTGGATGTATTTTGAGTCATGGAATGAAACATTAGATATCAAACTGTAATGAAAAAAACGTTAAACATTAAACTAAAAAAACATACATATGTTAGACACATTTTGTATATTTAAGCCTAATTTTAAAAAATGTGATGAACAAATATTTTTTAAATTAAATTGAATAAAATGCTTTTTAAATTAAACTAAATTTGTTTTGAATTATAAAAATATTTGTTTTGCATTGCTTATATATACATGATAATAGCGTATTTACCAAAAAAAAACACATTGACATATTTTATTTACCTGTCAGACACAATTTGAGAAAATTTTATCGATCTAGCACCCTTTGTAAAAAGAATCGGGTCATAATATGCGCCTTTATGCAATTATGACACGCGCTTTTTATTATTGGTTCTAAATTTCTCGGTTTTTAAACTTTCCCTCGGCTATAAATAAGAACCTCTCAACCGTAAACATCACCGCATCAATTCCTCCCATCAATTCCTTATATATTTGCTTCACCAGTTCGTTCGATCTTTCGTTGTAAGGTATTTTTTTAATATATAATATTTATTATATATATATTATTTTAAAAAATTATTGTACTAATTATTTCTATTATTTTTTAAGGTTGTAAAATTAGAAAGCGGGATCATACGTCGAGATATTTTTTCGATACGATAATAATATAAAATTATATTATTTTAATTATTGTTAATATTTTAAATATTTTATTGCGTTATATTTTAATTCATATATTATTTATTTAATTAGGTGTATTTCAGCTATTATTTTTTGCAGATATAAGACTCTCTATCTTTCAAACTCTCAGAATGTCATGAATTTCAGCTATTGTTTATTAGGATAGAGAAATTCGAAAATAAAATTGGCGTTGTCTTCGCATCAAATCATTCTGTTAAAATATCCTTCAAGAGAAACATAGCTATTGAGAAGCTGATAACGAAGATTTCAAGGAAGATTGTCCTCGCTTCAGTACTAGAAGATTGTCCTCGCTTCAGTACATATTTCCAACATCAGTGTTTTCATTAATTTATACAGCGTTCGAACTATCGAACGATGATGATGTTGCAATGATGGTTGATTCTAAAAATCATTATTCAGACGTCGATATGGAGATGTATGCAAAGTTTGTTGAAGTGTGTGTTGTTTGTGGTATGTCATTATGTTCCCACTATAGGCTGGCTCAACAAGCTGATCAAGTTGACAGGCCAACTACGGTAATGGGTAATAATTTTAATGCCATAATGGGAAGTCCGCATCATTGTGCCATCACATCAAGTTCAATGGGGAGATATTCATCAGAAACTGCTTACGATATGTACCGAGGTGGGTCTACAAACAATCTGTATGGCAACATCGCGTCCAATTTAAGGGGAATACATTCATCAGCCAATTTATTTGACATGAATATGGAGATGCCCTCAACGCAATAATCTGTGCAGTTTCTATTTGACACGATGGCTTCAAGCTCCAGGGGGAGGCATTCTACTGCGAGCTTCTTCGATCTCAATATCGAGAGGCCTTCAAGTTCAAGGGGAAGGCATGCAAGTATCAGGTTGTTCGACCTAAATGTGGACAGCATGGAGGAACCCTCATCTCCACCAAAAGAACCGCTTCGTGAGCCAGGTGCGGATGGTGCTGAAACTGGACTATTCGTTCACCCAGAATCACCGCAGTTCAACATAGACTCCGATGATGATGATGATGTAGATGAAGTTCCCACAAATTTGGTACACACTAAACCTCCAACACACATGTATGAAGCTGATTATGGTGCAATGTAAGGGCCAGAATTTGCGGATATGCCTAATGTCGGTGACTATGGATTTAACTCATCATTCATTAATGGTGAGTTATATTTAGGAATGGAGTTTTCATGCAAAGAAGAAGTGATGATGGCAATTAAAAATTACAATATTCATAATTTTGTTCAGTCTAGAGTCAACCGCTCTACGACTAAAAAGTATGTCTGTCACTGTGTCCAACATGATAACGGATGCAATTGGATGGTTCGCGTATCGAATACGAAGAGGAAAAACAATATATGGGAGCTAACTATATACAACGGTCCTCACACATGTTGTGTTAGAGAGATCAACCAGGATCATCCCAGCTTGGACTCTGGTATGATATGTCAAGTCATCATGCCCATGGTAAAAGCAATCTCCCAAATAGCTATTGATGTGTTGATTTCAGCTATACAATCGCAGTATGGGTATTCCGTCTCATACATAAAAGCATGGAAGGCAAATTAGAATGTGATTAAAAAACTTCACGGTGAATGGGATGCATCTTATAATGAACTACCAAGTTGGTTTAGGGTGGTGCGCATGTTGAATCCTGGGACAGTTATGGACTTCGAAACTTGCCATGCATACCATAATGATCGAGTTCTTCGTGATCTATGCCAATTCTACTGGCTTTTTTTAACTTACCCACTGTGCATTAATGTTGTGAAATACTACAAGCCCGTGGTCCAAATCGACGGGACATTCTTGTATGGAAAATACAAGCAAGTTTAACTATTGGAAGTTGTTCAATATAGTAATTGCAACATTCTTCTAGTTGTTTTTTTCCCTTGTTGAAGGAGAAGATATAGATTCTTAGTCTTTTTTCCTTCGAAACTTACGTTCACATGTTATTAGGAGGGAAATATCTGTGTCATTTCAGATCGCGGAGATGAGATCAAAGCAGCAATGGATTTTTTGCGTCAAATGTGGTAACCACCCTATGTCCAACATAGATATTGTATCCGACACATTGCTGCAAACTATCATGGAAGGTTCAAGAAGAATGATGAGCGTCAATTACTTATGCGCATGGGTATGTGAAAATGCTATTATTTTTTTCTTTCAATCATTTTCATTTTTTTATAAAAACAAAATTAGTAAGTTTTACATTTGATGCTCGGGTTACGAACTTCTACCTCAATCTTTTGAGTTCATGCTTCAAGAATTATGGGGGAAGAACAATGAAGGTATGATTACATCAACCTCATCAATAAAGAAATATGGACAAATGTATATGATGGTGGATATCGATATGGACACATGATGACCACCTTGGCTGAGGCTATCAATTCGACCTTAAAGGGGGCACGTCATTTACCTTAACGGCTTTGGTAAAAATGACATATTTTCGTTTGTGAACGCTTTTTATGAAGCTCTAGGGATAAGCTTAAACATAGATGCAAAGCGGTAATGTCTATCACCCTATATTAGTTACAAAACTACAAAAAATAATTGTTGCATCAAATGAAATATATGTAACAAGCTTCTCTATAACGCATGAATTGTTTCGTGTCACAGATATCCCATGACCTCTTCAAGGGATTTAAGTTAACTCGTTAAGAGTTAATCTACGAGACAGATAGTGCAACTATGGGTTTTTTCAAACTCTAAAGTATCCATGCTCTCATATCATAACAGCTTGCTCACATACTGTTCTGTGGATCTCGTATACCTACTATCAGAAGTGTTTAAGGTATATGAATTTGAGTTCCCCCCAATAGGTAATGACAAAGACCCTAATAAGGTTAAGAATTAGCTTCCGATTATACCAGATCTGTCTTTAATGAGAGATTGGGGTCGTCTAAAATCCACTCGAATTCATTGTGATATGGATATTCGAGAAACATCTAGACAAAACAAAAGATGTGGGCATTGTAGAAACCCATGACACAGTAGAAAAAAATGTCCATCTATTTTGTCATCAAGTAGCCGTTGATATTGTGCTTGATGTAGTTGTTTATGAAATAATAGTTTTTGTAATTTAATTTACATTTACTTTAAGTTAATGTCATTTGATCATCACTGAATAATTAAACAAGAAAATGTACAAGACAAGGGATTAAAATTCAGTAAATAATAAACTCATTCGCTTCAATTAAATAATAAACAAAATACTAAAAACATTCGCTTGAATTAAGTAATAAACAAAATAAATTAAGTCATAAAAGGTAAATAATTAATAAACAAGAAAAACGATTAAAAAACACTAAATAATAAAACAATTTGCTTGAATTAAGTAATAAACAAAATTAACAAAATAAATTAAGTATTAAACGGTAAATAATTAAACAAAATTACAATTATTTGTCAAAAAAATAAATACAAATATAATGAAATGTATAAATCTATCGATGTCTGCGTCTTGAATATGTTCAGCAGGGCGGTGGTTGTCTGTCTCGAGGAGAATTTCTTCGTATAATTTGTTCTGATTCCTCACTCTCATCATCATCATCATCTTCTTCGTCGTCATCAGGATCAGATACATTTTGTTGATGAGGAACGGATGACGATGTAGCACCTCCATAGAATAAAGACCCTGGAGGTGTATAACTGACTATCCCACCACTCATAAAACTGGGAAAACTGAGAAAAGACCGACATAGATGAGTGAGAAAACTGTACATGAGGTATCTGTGCGGCGGCCATTGATGGTGATGCTGGACCTACTAAATAACCAGTATATGAACCTCAAGTTGGATCTACAAACATAGAACCATAATATCCTCTAGGAGAGGTCATATAACTCTACAGCGGTGGCGGCATCTGGTATGGAAACGGCGGTGGCAGTATTTGGTATGGTTGTGGGATGTACATCGGTGTAGACGGTGGTTGCTGCGAAGGTTTTGGTGCTGCAGCTGAGGACGAACCCGAAGTACCAGCTCTCCATCCACAAGTCGGGGGATGATGGGGTTGTGACGGTAGACGTCTCTATCGATGTCGATGAATGCTCCATCATCGTGCTTCCTCAGAAAGCAGGAACGGTTTCCCGTTCCTGTTGAACCACTCGTAATAACCATATGCAACCGTCAAATGGTCCACATAAATGGGTTC